GTCAAACAAATCTCAGAAATCTATCAGAGCTAAACATTTTTCTTCTAATTATTTCTATTTTAACCACAGATTGCAGCTTCTCAAAAATTAGATTAAACAGAAGTCAAAATTTCTACGACAGAATAACCATTGGCTCCCAGCACAACGCCTGAGCTCCCAGGAAGGTTTTCAGAGAAACACAAAACTAACTTAGAGCTCAGTTCCTTGGGAAGGCACCAAATAGATACCCAGGTTTCTTTAATTTTTTCCTTGACCAGACCTCCCTTCCTTACCCTTCCCTTGTGGAACCTATGAACGTTTTCCCAAAGGGACTCAATACCATTTGGTCACTTGGACTTTTGCTCTATCTCAGGCCAGAAATCCCCGTTTGTTGAAAGAAGCCATGGCAAATCAGCTAGTAGCAGAGTGGTACCACACAAATCAGCAGGGGATTATATTTATAACGTTTACCACAAACACCCTAAACATATTTAAACAGATGAGCTATTGAGAATTTGATTCTTTAATCTTGTCAGGGTTTCTTTTTTTTTGGAAGTTGAGCAAGATCCGATGAATTAGGTATTCTCTTTTCAGAGTAAGAAGGACCACATGAAAGACTTTGCATATTCTCCTTCCAGTCCTTTGGGAGTTGGAAAACGGTCGATTCAGTTCCACCTTAATCCTTTAAGCAGCACTAAAAGGGCCTCCAAGCAGTTAAGCATCTTTTTTTTGACACGGAAGAACCAATACTGTGCTTTGAAGAGGAAAAGAAAAAAGTGATGTCTTTGGCAGTGACTGGGATAGGTCCCAGCATCCTCAGCACTATGAGGATTCTGTCATGGAGAAGAGGTCTGGTGGGGAACAGAGGAGGGCAGTGAGGGAAGAGCAGAGCTTATGGGAAAGGAAGAAGAACCATATGCTGCTTTTGGGCAGTGTTTTGTAAAAATCTTCTAATCCCATCTTCTGATGAGACAGTGCTATAAAAGCAGGAGAACAAGCAAAGAACACGCCTCAAAGATAAAAGGAACACCTTCCCTCTCACCTCCACACATCCTTACCAAGGTGGCAGCTGAGATGTCCAGCGCTGGCAATGTAACCCCTGCAGAGCTGTGCCACGAAGCCCTGCCACTCATAGGGCCACACTGCATGCTGACCCTTCCTGCACGTCCTGCACCACGAGCTGCTCAGGACTGCTTCTGGTCCCTCTCTACATCTTTGGAAAGTACCTGCTGCACCCCCAGCTGGCTCTGCAGAAAGATCTGTACCGAGCCACGTGCCTTTCCTCACTTGGCTTCAGGTCTTTCTGCAATAAGGGCAGATTTGGGCCCCCCCTCTCAAAGGTGGGGGGCAGATTAGACTTGTCAGCCCCGAGCAAGAGTTAGGTTATTTTATTTAGCACAGTGTAGCACAAAGAAAGAAAAAAAAAGCATGCAGTTGCCTAAATGCAAGCATTATGCAGAGCTCTGCACATGGGATGACATCTTCCTGCAAGGTACTGCCTTGTAACAGCGTAAGCACTGCTCTGCTCCAACATCCCCAGCTAAACCAAACCAGAGTAGCTTGCATGGTTCACCTAAATATGGTCCCTTCCAATCCAAAAGGAAGAAAGCTGCTTAATTACTAATCGTTAATGAGAGAGAACTCTGCCTATTAGCAACAATAAGAGGTACAGAGAGTTTTTTGCCTTCAGTGCATTGCAAGCATTAGCATTGGTGAGGCTCCTAACTGATAATTGCCATCTGGTTGCCAGCTCCATATGGTAGGTGTGGGAACTGAAGGAGAGAGGTGAAGCCACACATGCAATGCTCCTGATGGAAGATCCCTGCTCATCAAAATCCATATGGCTACAGAACCCAGCAGAAGATGCTGTCATGTCCTGTGCCCTTTTCTTCTTCCTCACTCCAACTCATTTCTGATAGTTTCTCCAATTCTCCATTACCAACAGGTTTTCTGCATAACTGGCCAGTTTTTGTTTGTTTTCCCCATCTGCTTGATGGCTTGTTCTTTTATTTATTCTTAGCAACTCCTCAACCAAAACCCAAGGCCATGTCTCCCCTTGTGCTGAGAACACAAAAACATAAATGAAAGAGGAAGGAAGAGTGAGATGCAAAATGCCTTCAAAGAGGGAAAGACTGGTGGTGCATTGGCACAGGCTGCCCAGGGGGGTGGTGGAGTCACTGTCCCTGGAGGTGTTCAAGAACTGTGGAGATGTGGCACTAAGGGACATGGTCAGTGAGCATGGAGGTGATGGGTCAACAGATGGACTTGATGATCTTGGAGGTCTTTTCCAACCTTAGCGATTTTATGAAAACCTCAGTGACCCAAAATGCTGGGGCACCAAATTAGCAGGGCACAGGGCAAGCAGGGCAGGACCCAGCATAGAGCACAGGCAGGTGCAGCCCCAAAAGTAGGCAGCTCCTGGTTGAAGCACAGCCTAATGACCATTATTTCCAAGAACACAAGTAACTTATCTGTAAACAGCACTCCCCCAACCAGGCATTAGCTGAAAAAAAAAAAAAAAGAAAAAAAAAAAGATAAGCAGCTTTGGAGAGTGAAGCTAATTACATAGCTGTGAACAGCTGGACTTTGATCATAATTACAGTGCTGTCCTCCTTCTGCATTAGTGGCTTCCAGCTGCAGCTAGGTGGGCATTTAGGGAAGGTGGAGATCCTTCCCCATGCCAAAGGAGGAGGGAGTTGTCCCATGTCCCAGCTGATCTGGCTGTGAGAATGACACCCTTCCCCCCCATTTTAACAGCATTTCTAACACTTTCCACAACTGTTCTGCCAGCATGCCTCAGCTCAATATTATCCATTTGCTCTTTAGATTATTATTTACATATAATTTTAAGGAAAGATATTAATGCAGCCCAAGTTGCAGAGAAGCACGTTGGTGTAGGCTAAATAACGCGCTTTGACCACATCAAAGCAAAAATGTTTCAAAGCGTGTAAAATAAATGCAATTATGAAACCGTTCAGTTTTGTTATATCAGTCAGAAGAATGTCACCCAGCACATCCCAAAAGGCATCCCATGCGCAGAGCCTCAAGCTGAGCACCATAATGTCTTCCCACTGAGAGAAGTATTTCGGGGTCCAGCTCCCCGCTGATTTCGACCACGCAGAGGACAGCCACTAATAACTGGACAAATGCTACTCTCCGTTCATATAAACAGACATGTGGAACAGCTGAGACGTGTTATTACTCTAAGCTACTACATCTTGGTCAGGTTTTACAACTGAGGGGTGTCACAAACTTTATCTGTCCCAAGCTGTCCTGAGGCTTCCCACAGCACAATGGCCACTTACAGAGCCTCGCTGTGCTGCTAAGGCACGTGGCTGGGACCAGTGATTTGTTGGAGGACACAGACCTAATGGTGAGGAAGGCCCACTCTAATGGGTCTACAAAGTACAGCTAAGGGAGTTTTATTCCCTGATTCTTGCTCCAGCTGAGATTTTTGCCTTAGTCACAGTCCAATTCTACAGCTCTGTTCTTCGACACGGGATGGGACAAACTGGCAGAGTTCACAGGCTCTGGGAGGTAGCTCCACAGCTCAGGTACCACTGCTGGTGCATCTTTGGACTTCCCAATATATTAAAAAATATTTTTTCAATTTTCTATTTGGGAATTTGATTAGCTGTAGCTTCCAAACACTGAAAGTTGGACTTGAAGGAAGTAGGATTTGGTGATCCTCACGTGTCCTTTCCAACTTGGGACAGTTTGTGATTCAAAGATCCTTCAAGATGCTAAGACCCCACTGCTCCAACCTCCAGTGCACCTTCCCAGATGGGTGCTGCTCCCTCAGTGGGTTTTTGGGACAGCAAAGCGTGACTGCATGTAGCTGGCAGCCCCGTGTTGGTGCTGTGGAAGAGAAACCAACCCCCCCTGCTTCATTCCACATTCCTGCACTGTGGCAGCATGGCCAAGTACCGCTCGCTATTTGCCAGCTCCCCTCCTCTCCTTTCCCAGCACAGGGAGCACCGAAACCACAGTGACACGGAGCACGTTAAAGGAGAAAACAGCAATGCTGCAACAAATCCTGGCAGTGGAGGGGAAAGAAAAAGAGATCGCAGCGGCCAAGCGCTCAGCTATGCAACACATGCACCGTGAAGAGGAGCAACACATGCACCATGAAGAGGATGAGTTAAGAGTTAACCCTTCTGCAGACGGAATGCCGCGGTGAGACAGCAGCCAGGGCTTTTTCCAAGCACGGCCAGAAAGGAGCCTTAAAGCAGCCCAGCAAGCGACCCCGCTCTGAGGATTTCACCTCTCCAAATTTTACGACTGGAAAAATACCATCTACATGTCATTTACATGCTTAAATATAGTATCTCCTATTGGGAGAAACAAACAGACCGACAATGTGACACCGTGATACCTCGTGCGGACGCTCTCTTTTATCTGCTGGAAAGTTCTAAAACGCAGCTTAACAACAAAGCTAAAATAAGAGTGGTTGTCAGATTCTGTGCCGGCTGTTAAACAGAATGAAAATATATTCTTTGAAACGTGCTTTCACTTAGAAGGAGTTTCCTTTCTGGGTCTTTTAAATGATTTATTTATCTTTTCAATTCCCAAATCTCAAAGCTTATGTTGGACTCGATGATCTTTAAGCTCTTTCCCAACCTGAGTGATTCTATGATTACATTCTTTCCATGAGTTTTTACACTTAAAGACACAAACAAACACATATCTTGCTATAGAAAGTAACAGCAACCTGTGCACTTCCCAAAGCACTGAGTAACCTTCACCTCCAAAACGCTATCAGCTTTCACGTTATTTATCTTATATTTTTCCTCTAACGCCAAAGAGGAAGAGGCCGATATCTTAAGCGGATGCCTATAATTAAACAGTAACCTGTTAGAAAGCCAAAAATAATAGTAAGCTCCACTGAGCATGAAGAGAGTGGCACATTTTTTCCGCGTGCAGCCCAGCTGCCCCCGGCCGATAGCAGCAAGTTAACAATTACACGAGTCACAGAGATCAGAGCCGCGATAGGAGAGGGCTACGTCACGCCCGGGACTCACCGCGGGATGCAGGGATCGGGGTAGTACTGCAAGGTGCTGAACGGCGCCGCTTCAAAATTCATTTCCTTCCAGCCCCTCTTAGGGCACGGGCAAAAAAATAAATAAATAGATACAAAGCCAGCCGGCCAAAAGCAATAAGGTCAAGTGGTACGCCAGATACAACTTTAGAGATTTATTTTACACTTGCAGATGGGTGGGATCTCCCAGGGGCTTGGCCAATGGGATTCATCAAGTGACCTGAGTATCACCACCCGTCCCTCCTCACCAGCTGGGCATCTTCTGCGCCAATATTTCCCCTCCTCTCAACATCCTTAATAAACTCCGGTGTACGTCGGCCGCACTTGTTGTTGGGAGCTCATCTGGGGCATCTCTGAACTTCTGATCTCGTCGGCCATTGGTTGCCTTCCCGCCTGACTTCACAGTTTAATTTTGGCAGCTCTTGCGATTTTGCAAACTGCCACAGCCGCTGGTCATCCTCAGCTCCAGCTGGCCGGAGCTTCCCCTGCCCGCACTGCATTTTGTCGTGCTCTAAAAGCTTCCCTGGGGCCAATACCTGCATGACACAGCCTGGGGAAATTTTCTTTTTCAACCTCTCTCTCGATGCAGTTCAAACTGTCTGTTGTGGTTGTAGTTTCAAAAGCAGAATGATAAAATACAGGGAAATTCCTCATTTAAATTTAGCTCTGAACTTCTGTGCCTCTGTCCACCCTTCATTTCTCACCCCCCCCCCCCCCCCCCAAGCACCAGAGGTAATTGTTTATGTTTCACCCCATATCTTTTTATGGTTGTTTTTTCTTTTTTTCCCAAAGAAAATTGAGATATTTGTGTTAGCATTCTGAAAATATATTTTTTTCTATTTTTTCCATGTGAAAAACTACAATACTTTCAAATATCCTGAAAAGTAAGAAGAAAGAAAATAGGGATGTCTTTTTCAAACCACTAAAGCCTGAAGAAATAAGAGCAAAATTAAGTCCACCATTACCTAAGGTGAGAGAAAGATCAGATTTTCCTGAAGTAAACTGAAAACCAAGAAGGGCACCTCTAATCCCTTCCCCTTGCCTTTTCTTATTTTTTTTTTTTTTTCCTCTCAGACCATCATTTCAGAAGGCAACCTGCTTTATTCCTCTGTTTTTCCCCCTCATTAACTCATCCAAATAGAACAGGCTGTAAACCTATCCTGGTTTTGTGGTTTTGGAGAATGAATGAAATATGAATCAGGAGCTAAATTAAAATGGATTCCAGCAGGAAAAAATAGCATCCATGTATCTATGACCCAATGGGATTGCATCTTCCAGCAGACATGTATGTTTGTGTACACAGAGGGTGCTGCTCCATTGCTCACCTACTGAGCATCTCTCATGCTGATGTCAGCATGAATGCCAAAGTCCTGAGCAAAAAGCTGAAGCTCTCTGAGAAGGCAGCGACTGACTCTTATTTTTCTCTCTGCTCTTTCCTTGTAGGAAATTTTGGTTCAAAGAATGTCATGTGGAAACATTTTCTTTGCTGCCTGTGCCAGGGGAGCTATTTCGGACTTGACATTCTCCACCCACACTCAGCCTGATAGTTCCTAACATCTGTGAATTGTGAATCCTGTCAACTTGTAGTGCTGATCCCTGCTCAAGCCCAAGCAACTAAGTGGTGTTGGCCAGGGAAGAGAGGCTGGACACAAACAGTGTGTTTATTAACTGAAGCTAAGGCTTTCCTTGCTGCTAGACACTGCTTCTGCCTGGAGTAAAACATCAACCCTGCACCATGCAGAAGTGTAAGAACAGCCAAAGCAGGCTGTGCTGGTGGGGAGATGCAAGCTTTGAACAATTGCCCTGTACTGAAGGCAAAGAACAAGGCACTTCATTTCAGCAGGAGTGTGGGGCCATGCTCTCCTGGCTTCAGGACGGCTTCAATCCTCATGAGTACAGACAATCAGCCTGGCTGGAGAGGCATCAGGTTGGGCTCAGCCTCTTGCTCCAGTCCATAGGAGTATACTGCTGAGAGCTTCTGCCTGCCCCAAGAGACAGACCAGCAGCCTCCTGGATCTCCTCAACCATGCCCTTGTGGAACAGGCATGGCTTCATGGAAGTTGTTATGAGTGTGTCCATTCTGGAAGAGTTTGTATTTCCTGCTAGATTGCAGCCCAGAAGTGAGAAGAGAGAAGTCCCATGAAAAAGAAATGCTGTGTGAAAACGGAACTGCTCACGTGCTGTTCCATTGGAACTAGAGAAGCCTTTGCCAGCGTGACATGGGTGCCAAAACCAAAATGCTGGAAGCAAAGGAAGGCTGGACAACTCCCACCCCACGATCCAGATCTGCCCCTCTGCTCTCAGCCCTTCTCCTCACCTGGCACTGCCCAGTTAACACCATGAGGTCAGTCAAGATGTCCCAAGTACTGCTCCTGGGATTGGAGCTGCTGGGCTGCCTCCTCTGCCAAAGATGAATTTCAGCTCTGTTCTTACACCTCAGCATAGCAGCAATGGTGCAAAAAGTCTTTCTTTGCAACACCTAAAGAAATTCTGCCAGGACTGTCCAACATCCGTGTGCCCTTCCATGTGCTCCTCGGTTCCTCAGTCACATTAAGCCCAAGTTTGTTATAGTCCAAACCACTGAGCTTGTGATTCCTGCTTTGAGAGCCAAACACGTCTAACAGCACCCCAGTCAAGATGAGGCAGCCAGTCTCCAGCTTGTAATTCACACCAAAAGAATATCTGCTCCTGAAGAAAACTAATTAATTTCAAAAAGCAGTACCACATAATTGTAATGAACTCAGAGCAGGGCTCTCTTCTCACTCGCACGGCATCGATGGGAGGGGATGTCTAGCAAGGACATTTCCATAAAAACTTCAAAAAGGGACACCAACTGCCCAAAGTCCTTACAGTCCTCATGTCCAGGGTTGGGGAAATGCAAATGGCTCACAGTTTGGCACACGCTGGCAGCACATGCAGAACGTGGCTGCCTTTTCCCAGAAAGCTGGACATTTTCAGCTTCCACCAGAGATCTAGATATTCTTTGAAATGGTTGAAAAGGTCCACTGCTTGCTTTTCCCATTAAAAAATAGAGCCACAGGAAGCCATGGGTGACAGCCAGGCAACAACTACTTGCGACAGTCTAACCCCATCTTCCCTCCTGCCCCTCACTTGCAGCCAATGCTGAGCCAAAGGTTCCCGATGTAGGTACCTGCATTTGCAGCTAGACTGTGTTAACCTCCCGTCAGCTGCAGGGCGCTCCTTGCATAGCACAGCCTGCAGTAGAAACACAAGCCCTAGGGTGCATATGTGCTTATTGCCAGTGCTCCATGTATAGCTGGGAGGCTCTCCCATTATTTGGCCAACCCCATTCACGCTGCCTTGAAGAAAATCTGTGAAATGGAGCTCTTGTGGTAGCAGCCCTCAAAGGTGGGCAACTCAAAACAAAAAGGGACTTATGACATCCCCACCAATTCTTTGCCCACTCTGGGATGCCCGCAGGCTGCTCTGAGAGCAGTGCTACCCGAGCAGCAGCAGATGCATGCCCGGCAGGAGAATGATGGAAGCCAGGCTGTCAGGGATCTGTCTGGCCAGTGGATTTCCAGCCCAGCCCACAGCGCTTGCGGTGAGCTGGCGGCATGGGGATATGCAGAGGAAGCATGTGTGTAGGTGGGCAAGAATGCGGGGCATCGCTCTGTCGCTGCTGCTTCCACGTCTGGGAAAGCCCACAGCTGTTTCCTGCCTGTTTTTCTATTTTCTCATTACCCCTCCATGCACCCTCTCCATACGGTTCTTATATGTGGATGTTTTAGCAGAAGGGACTGCTACAGATTTACTTGCCACCACCACCCAAATTTAGTGCCAAGATGCATGCTAGCCTTTGTCCTGAACAAGGGTGAAAAACAGAGCACCCTGACACCCCTATGGCTCCAGAGCCATGGATATGGGGCCATCTGAGCAGCTCAGAAAGATGGGGAAAGGCAGGTTCAGCTTTGCTCTCAGCCACCTTCCCAACTACTGGCTGCAGGACTTGCCTGGAATCAGCCCCACCCTCTACACCATGGGGATGAAACATTTCTTTCGTAGTTTGGGATTTCCAGGGGAGTGGTTGTGGGCTGTATTTTTTTTTTTTTTTTATGAATTTATTTCAAAAGTGAGAACTCTGTGGGATATTTGGAGATTCTTTTTGTTCAAAAAATTTGGAGGGGGAAATAATTTCCCCCTCCAGGCAATAAGAAATCTTTATTTTGGCTATCTGAGGGAAAAAGATCACACTATGTCAACATCCTTCCTGAATGCATTTTCCACTTTCAACTAAATTTTTACTAATCTCTAAAGGTTTCAAAGATGTTAAAGCTTTAGGAATTCAGCAACTGAACTAAGCTCAGAGGAAAGACACCTTCCCAACAACTCCTCTGAAAGGGGAAGGGTAGCAGGTGTGTGACCGCACAGGCTGCAGAGCACCTACCCAAACACCACGGTGGTGGAAGAAGCCTCCAGGTAACAGCAATCTCTGGCCCCATTGCTCCACAAACGTCAGACTTCTGGCCTTGTACTCATGCAAACCTTTGCCCCTGCTCTGCTTGCACTGAGAGAAGGAGACTTTATAGAATAGTAAACTGAAGGGGGGTGAAGAAAAAGCCATTTTTCTTAATACTTTCCCCTAGTACCTTTTGTCTGCAGTGCAAGCAAACACTGGTACTCTGCAATATGCTCATGTTGACTGCTAAGTGTTGCCTAGAGCTAGAAAGAAATGAAGGAGGACACCCTTCAAACCCTCCTGAAAGCAACAAAAACCACTTTCAGAGCTGTTTGCCTTTGGTGACATGTCTGTCGCATCTGCATGGTCAGAGCACCATCCACTTGCAGGAAACAGTATAGGCTGGTGTTGCTCTCAGAAGGAATAGCAAACAGTATAATTAAGCACAAACTGCTTTTGGACCATTTGTCCCCAGGACTCTGTCTCAGGAGTTGACAAGAAGGCAGGCTTGGAGCTGACTATGGATTTTGGGTAATGCCTTTAGCTGGAAGGGAAATGAATGTTGGAGGAGATTCTCTTGACTTCCTAAACACCAGGGCCCTTCTCTCTACTGACAGAGAGCAGAAGGAAGCAGCTCAGA